TTGTAAATAACATAAAAAAGTCCGGTTTTTAGGCCCTCTTTATTGTTTATTAAGAGTGTTTTTTGTTTTTGAGGGTGTATGACCCCCCCTTAGCCTTGAAAGGCCATCCATTTTGGGCCATTTTGGTGCTAGCTCCGAGGATTTTGTGTTGAGGTCTCTTCACCTGAAAATCTTGAGGGATTTCCAGTGGTGAAGATGAATGCTTTGCGAAGTCCCAAGAAGGAAGAGGGCCACCCCTCTCCCTTGTTGTCCTTAAAAGGGCAATTTTTGGCCTCTTGAGAGGCATTATGCTTAGTGTGTGTTGAGCATGTTTAGGCTTTTTTCATTGCTTATATTCCATAATATAAACATGACTTTAAGTTGGTTTTGGTAACTACCATGCATGTTTAGCATAGGTTGCCTGTAATGCCTTGTTTATGCCTTAATGTGGCCTTAGGTGTTAGCCTTTGTGGAGCATGTTTTAGGCTTAGTCCTTGTGAAGGATTATGTGGCTTATTTGCCAATGTTTTAGGTCGTCCATAAGTGTTTGGTCGATTTGGCATGCTTGCATATAGCTCCTTTGATTGGGCTGTAGCCTTAAGTAATGTGCATGTTAGCATGACATCTTTGCAATCGAATTGGTGATTGGGGTTCCTCCACAGTTAATTTTCAGTCCATTTCCTTCTATGCTTGTTTGATTGCTTACATGCCTCTTTATGCTTTGGAAGCTTGTGTAGCAATGCTCCCATGTTTTTGGGTCTAATGCATGCCTTGATTTTGAGTCACTTAGAGCATCTTAAGTAGTCCTTTAAGCTTTGTTTTAACATGCTAAACCTCTGATTTTGGTCCTTCCTTCATGGCATGTTTGGGTCTGTTTAAGTAGATCAATGCTCCCTTTTGATTGGCTGAACACTTGGACTATTGTTGCAATTTTTTGGCTTGATTTGTTGCTTGGTTTGAACCATCCCTAACATCATTTTTCAGAGCTTATGTGCATGTTAATACATCCATGAATTGTCAACTTATTCAAAGTGTGCTTGAGGGTTGTTCAAATTGTGCTTAAGTGTTGGCCTTCAATTAGTCATGTGTGCATGTACATTTGGTCCTTCATAATAGCAATTTTGGCCCTGTTAGGCCTTATTAGAGCTGCCTAATTCATGTATACAGACCACCTTAGCATTAGTTTGCATTGCCATATGTATGCTTTATGCTTGCATAAGCTGTCACCATGCCATGTGCATCCTTAGTTTGTATGCTTAGGTTCATTGCACTTGCATGCAGCCTTGTTCCTTGACTGATGATAGAATTGCCTTGTTTAGTTGATTTGGTTGCATGCATTTAAATCAAAAGTGCAATATTTGGTTCTTTTGGGCCACAATGCATGGAAATGCGTGATTGGTGGTTGAGAATTCGAGGCACATGCCCCTTTGAGTCATATCATGATAAGGGACATGGTTCTGCATTATATGCCTTGAATTGTTGCTTGCCATGCCTTTGTCTTGCCCTCTGTTGCTGGAGTTGCAGGTTCTGCAGCTTTCTTTGCCGACCGGAGTGTAAGTCCGGCCGCCAATCTTCCTCTGCCGACAACTCCATTTTGTGCCGATGGCCACACACCAGTGCCCGGTGGTAAATTCCACTCAGCTCGGGTGGCACTCCCCAGTGTCCAGGGATGCAGTCCTGAGGTTTGAACAGCCTCCAGAGGAGCAGAGGAAAAGAAAACAGAGGCAGATTGCGCATGGCGGCGCGTTTACCGAGGTGGATATAATGCTTTCCTAAGTTTATTTAATTCGTTATTGAATTAATTTGTAATATTAATTAGCGTTGCGAAGTTAATTAATCTTAAATATTTATTCGATCCCTCGAGTGAGGTAAATGATGTAATAAGTGTGCGTGAGTAAGTGTTATGTCTTCAACCTCACGTCTTTCTTCCCTTTTATTTTACCTGCTTATGATGGTAAATTAGGGCACGTTTAAATTAGCGATACCTATGCTATGCATGCGTGCATTCAGGATTTTAGGAACATGTATTAGGCTCGGTACATCACGCTAACTGCATTTGTACTTCAAAAATCTAAACTAATATGTGATTAAGTTTGCAATTTCCTCACATGCCATGTTTAGGATAGCCCGAGCCTATTCTCAGCAACACTTTGTAATGTGAAGGCATTAGGCAACTTAACAAGGTACTTGGATCATGCCATGTTTTGCTAAACGAGTTCTTGTTTGCATGGGAGTACGATGTGTATTTTTCCGCTTTAGCATATTCGCATAGTGGAATGTTGCCATGTCAGCATGCTAACCATGTGGCAGATGCTTAAGGTGTATAAACGCTTGGATGCCTGTGGGTGAAGTTGATGTTTTTGAAATTGGAAGAACCATTGAAACCATGTTTTAGGCCTACTGCGAGTAAGCAAATTCAAAACATTTTCCAAACAAACGTATATGACATGCTATTTCCAAATTTAGGCAATCTAGTCTAATACTTGTTTGCTGCAAAATCGCATAACAATAGTATTCTAGCTATAAATGGAATAAGAACACAATAAAAAGTTTTTAAAAACGGATATCACGGTTAGTAGAGGCCGATCTTCGAAATGTGTATGAGGGGGTGCTCATAGCTGACCTTCCCCGATCGTACCCAAGCTCCCGAGCCGAGACAACTCCGGTGATGACGGACATGTGGCCTTCGGCACCGAGTCAGGGTTTCCTAAATTCTCCCATAAAAAATATTTAGGTGGCGACTCTGTATCTGGCAAAGCAGTCCATGTTTGGCACTACTTTTTCAAAAATCTGTTTCTCAAAACGATTTGCCAGATTTGGACTCTTTGGTTCAGATTAAGAACCGCGACGACAAAAATCGCGAGTCCGAACTGTAGCAGCGAGGTCCCCCTCCGCGGGCGCGTCTACAGTACGGTACAAAACTGACTTCGAAGCCAACTACCTATTTTTGAAACTACGCTAAGTAGTTGAAAACTGGCTTCAAAGCCAATTAACCATTTTCAAAACCAAACTGAACGTTTGAAATGTATTTCCCCCTTCATAAGGTATCCACATACTGGCTCGGAGATAGTTTTCTTCCTTGTGTTCTCAGGGATTTAAAATAAAAGCCTTACTCACACATGGGTTAGAACTTGGGTCCATTTAACCAATTATATTAAATGGGTAACTTTGGACAGAAAGGTTTAAAACCCCATCTTCTCGCGCTTAGAGGATCAATGCCTCCTTTACGAGGGTGGCCTTGATTGGGGAAGCTGGAAGATGAACCGTTCTCATCGCTGCTAGCCCACATTGAGGCCAAAATGGGAGGAATGGTAAGGCCGAGTTGTTCCTACCAGGATGATGGACCTCTAAGAACTCTGTTTCTTTGACACCCTTCGACTAGCCAAGTTTTTCATCCTGAAGACCCTTTTCTCATACCTACTGCTTTTTGTTTTTGGAACCCAACTTTCAATTTCTTTCAATTTCGATGTGGCATGATGGCCTCCACTGTCCTTGACTTGTGCCATCTTCTAGGGTTATCATCCGCTGGTACTCCTTTCAGTCTTGATTATCCTGATCTAAATGTTCCCTTCTCTATTCCTCCCTCTGGCTTCTTCCTTTAGTGATTTTCTGAAGTCTGACAATAAAAAGGAATGCCATGTGACTGATCGAGAGTTCTTTTCTTTTCTCTTATATTGGCTTTGCAAATTTTTATTCTATACCTCCTCACAAAGGATTATGCCTGAATTCGCCCATATTGCCAAGGCTCTTGCTTCGGCTAAGAAGATATCATTAGCTCATTATGTATTGGGTCATGTATATAGAGCTTGCTCTTAGTTTTATGAGAAACCCCTCGATGCCAACTAAGGAGGACCACTCTGGATGTTGCAACTCTAGCTTTTCGCTTACTTCACTGACTTACATTCCAGGTTCTTGAGATTCTTGGTGAAAGACCCTACCACTTATGGAATGAAGTATGCCATAGTTTCACTCTACCCTTCTAACTTTTCTTATTACCTTACTTTCTTCTATCAACTTCCAGTTTCCCTCCTTTCCACCTTCTTGTGCCTCTTTGCAGCTAACACAGGGCCAACATGACTGAGGACTTTCCTAGCTAACAATGCCTGCACCAACCCCATTTACAGGGATATGTGGCCTTGATTTTGATTCCAAGGGAGTTCTACATTGGTACTTTGAACTTTCGAGCTTATAAGTGTATTGTTGAACCCTACTGCCTTGCCCAATTTGCTAGGCAATTTGGGCTTACTCAAAGAATTCTTGTCCCTCTCTATAGCCAAACTAACCCCAACCTTGCAACCAGAGACCTGAAGGTGCCAAGAACCAGGCTGGATAAGGTAACTTCCAAGTTGATACAAGACTTGGTCGAATTCAAGTTCACTCCCTTCATCCTACACGGCACTGCATTGAGGAGGTACCAGAATTGGTAGACAGCCAATATCGAGGTGCTCCTGGCTATCTCTCATCGGGATCTGTTGGTAGGGCTAGACGTGTCCTCTCAAGCTAAGTCCAAAGAGATTGGGACCACTACTATTGCCTTCATTACCCCCGTCATCCCAACTCTTACTCCTGCTGTCTTTGTATCTACTCTTATTGCCTCACCTCCTCCTCCAAGAATCACCAGGGCTACTTCAAAGAAACATATGCATCTCAATTTTCCCTTTCTCTTTCTTTTCTGATGCCTTGCTCGTTTACTTGTAGCTTCTATTCTTGGTGTAGGAGCTCTACAGGAAAACTCTCCTCAGAGAACTCAAGCTTCGAGCATTTTTAAGTGCAAGCAGCAACAACAGAGGAAAAGGAAACTTTTGCTTGATCTTGAAGAAGAGGTGCTTGAAACTCCTACATAAGAGGATGAAGCAGCAAAGGAAAAAGAAACTCCACTTAAGAGGAAGAAGAAAATGACAGTTTCTCCTTCTGATTTTTCCCAGGACCTTACTCATGAGGTAGCTGCCAGGGCAGTGGAGTAAGAGCATTCTAAAGAAATTATCGTTTTCCAAAGGTCTGAGAAAAGAAGATAGCAACAAATGCAAAGAGAAGAGGCTGCTACTGCTAAAGTAATACAAAAGGAGGTTGCAAAGAAGAAACAAACTACTGAGTTTTATGCCCTTCACAGCTCTTTAATTATCACCATCACAACCTCTGAAGCTGGTAATTTTTTCCTTAATTCCTTTTGATTCCATCCCCAGGACTTAACAAAAAGTTAAAATTTCCTTTCTATTTTCTGAAATGCAGCAGCAGCAGTCATTCTTCCTTCGACATTGGCTTCTTCAGCCTCAAAAGGAATAAGGAAGTCTCATACTGAAGTGCCAATGAGTATAGAGCCCATTCAGATTATGCTTCCATTTCCCAGATCTATACTCCCCATGCCTTCCTTTTTGACGCAAAGCATCCCACATTCCTTATGCTTGGGCTTAACTCCATATCTACCTCATCTCCCAATTCACTCTTCCTACAATCCTGGCTGCTCCTTATTGAGGGTTGAATATGAGGAGTGATATGACAGGGTTGTGCTTGCCAGAGAATGGGATCTGCAATTGATGCCCTTCGCCTCTCCAGGTTCATTATCCCTAAGGATCCTTTCTTGATTCCTGCAGTTCTTTGTTTCTGGAATTTTGCTTTTAATTTTTTTCAGTTTCGGTGTGGTATGATGGCCCCCATCGTTCTTGATATTTGCCATCTCTTAGGGCTCTCACCACTTGGTGCCCCATTTATGCTTGGTTACCTAGACCTTCCAATCAACTTCACCATTCCACCCTCGAACTCTTCCTTCAGTGATTTTGTAAAATTTGAGAACAAGAAGGTAGGTTCTATAGATGATCGAGAGTTCTTTTCTTTCATTCTGTATTGGTTATCAAATTTCTCTTTTGTACTTCATCTCAACGGATTATGCCTGAGTTTGCTCCACTTTCCAAGGCTCTTGCCTCGAAGAAGAGTATAGCCTTGGCTCCTTACGTTTTAGGCCATGTAAATTAAAGATTGAGAACCAATAATGAAATAGATAGTATACTTTTGGAACTATTTATGACCATATGCAAAATTAGTATACTATTTGTGATCCTTTAGAAGCTTATAAAACTATAATTTCCCATGAAAATGTATGAATTGATATAAATTTGTTCGAGTAGAATTTAGAGGATTGAATCGAGGTTTGCAATTTAATCTCATGTGTTGGCCATTCGGTCTTGTACTACCTGAAAATGCACCTTTTAATGGATTCTAGTTGAATTACCAGTTTTTCCACATTTATTTAATACTTGGTAATAAAATGCAGCTGATCCGAAGAAGACGGAACACACACAAAAAAAAAAAGGTATGGAATCTTTCAATTGACTCCATTTTTTGGGGGGCTTTTGCTTTTTGTCCCTAAAAGTATTTAATAACTGGAATAATCTCTTTATATTTGTGTAAACTTTTCAGTTAACTATGAAATACACACATAAAGTTTTAATTTTTTACTTCAATTTTACATTTTCACTCATCTTTTATGTTTTCATCTGTGTTGGGTGGTATATGCCCCTGTATAAAACCCCATAGGTGTTAAAATATTTATATACATGAGTGTATAAATTTTTTTGATTGCATATACATTAGTATATATATATATATTTAAATTACATATACATTCATCCATAAATTTAGAGTGCAAATTTTAGTTTGCCCCTTAGACATGGTTTTATATACCTGTGTGTCAGTTGAAATGAACTATGCAAAAATTGTATTGCCCTATTCGAATGTGGCTTCCTTAATTGTTTAAATGTTGGGCCAGTTTGTTCAAATGCACATTGTTCTACCCTGAACAATGCTCTGTCCTAGTTTGTATGTTCAAACGCAGACATTGTGATCATGTGCTGGGCAGAGCTTGTGGAGAATGAAGTCAAAGTGAGAGACTGGACAGAAGTGGATAGCGAATTGCTCAGTGTTAGAGCAGGTACCATCTGTGCATCTGAATCTACTTAATCTTGGAGCACAAGTGGTTTGTTTGTCCCATGGTTTTTTACCCTTTTGGGTTTTCCACGTTGAATAGTATCTCTCCGTGTGATTGCTTATTTCTATTTATTAATTGGCTCTTAACTCAGTAATATCTAGTAAATCTGCTAATTTTAAAGACTCCTGTTTAGTTTTTTAGAATTTGTTGATAGATAGTAAATTTTGATCATAGTGAATGCTTGTAACTATTTGTCTTGTGAGTATTAATCTTTCTCCTGACCATATTCCTCTCCCAGAGAAGTAAAGAGGTTATATTTTTGATCAAATTTTTGGATTCTTGGTTATACCGTAAAAAACCAAGTGTTGACTCCCAATCTTTTTCAAAATACAGATTGAAATATTTTTCAAGCCATTGTGCTTACAATTGTATCATTAATCATGTTAAGAAACTATCTTCTTATATAGTTTGCTTTTGCTTCAGAGGTCTTGACCAAGGAAAACATTGTGGAACCTATGGGGGAAAGACTATGGGATTTAGTAGCGAAAGTCTCAGGTTCAATTCAGTTTAAATTACATAATAAGAAGAGAAAACTAATGCATTGTCTTTTAAATTAAAGTGATGAAAAATTCAGAAAAACTCATCGTTCTCATTTTTGTAAGGAAGAAGTTTCCAAAAATTCAAAAACAAGTTTTTTTGTTTTTCAGAAAAAGTGAGTTGCTTCCACAAAATTTTTCAAAAACCATTTTTTTAAACAGTTCACCAAACAAGTTTTATGTGTTTTTTGAAAAATAAAACAGAAAACAGGAAACAAAAAAATACAGCCAAACATGATTACATGTAAGTGGTAGGTTTTACAGGGAGATTGTTTACTTGTAGGCTTAAGGAGGAGCGGCAAGAGTTGTAGAATGCGATGGATGAACTATCTACGTCCCAATCTTAAGCACGGTCGACTGAGTGCAGAAGAAGAGAGGATCATTCTTCAACTTCACAAGCAATGGGGTAACAAGTAAGGCCCTTTTTTCTACGTCCTTTAAATGCCTCAAGACTCACATAACAGAACCAAATTTACTATGCTACTTAAATTATGCCTATACTTCTATGCCAAACAGTAGCGTCTTATACAAGTTGTCCCAAGTTTTGTTTAAAATATGTTTGTTGTTTACTTCATAGATGGTCAAAAATTGCTCGAAGGTTGCCTGGAAGAACTGATAATGAGATAAAGAACTACTGGAGAAGTCATTTGAGAAAGAATGCACAAGTCCGAGAGCAAGTTAAATTTGCTCTGGGACACACTATCAATATTTGAATAACTAACCAGGCCACCTCAGCCTTTATGTAGTCCAAAAGTAGATGGGTACGGCATCAATTACAACTTATTTTGTGCATTGTAATAGCTCAACTAGATGCATAAAAATGACGTGGAAAACAGGCAGGGAAAACGACAAAGGAAATTTGTTGAGAAGTTCATTTTTAAGGGGTGTGTAGCATTCAGTCAAAAACTTCTCTTAAGGTTTTTGTTGATGATGTTAACTTTTTTTTTTTCCTTACAATAAAGTAACAGGAGTGAATTAATAAAAACCTAAACTTCAGGGAGGTTTCTGTCATTTCAAAAATCTCAAGGGAGGTTTTTCTACCATTTCATTAAAATTCAATGCTCTTATCATTCAATGTTTATCAAGTCCTGTTAGAAACACTGTAAGGCGTAAAACTTTTTCCTGGGTTTTTTTAAACTGAATGAATACATCATTTCAATTGTCGTTGTTTCTTCACTTCTTGAAGTTGGGGTCCATCATAGATTGGAAGGAACTCTGAATTAGATATTAAACCACCATGATTTCATAATTTGAAGGAAAACAAAATAATTTACATTTTGTTTGTAGAGAACAACATATTTGAGATAGTTTTTTTTTTTTTTTTTCTTTGTAGATACTAATCAAATTATGCTTTTAATTTTTTTTTTTAATTTATACATACGGTGTAGAAATCATATTCATCTATGTTTCTAATTCAAGTAAATTACAATTTGTAGGTAAATTATGCTCTTGGGGCTCTGTATTATCTGTGTAATGGTTCTAACAAGGAAGAGATATTGAAGCCAGAGGTGGTGGATGTCATCAGAAGGTATGCAGCAGCTGGTGCAGTTAGTGTAAGCTTCAGTAATCTAGCTCAGGCATTTCTAGATAAGCACGTTGATGAACACGAGTGACAGATAAATTCTACTTTTTGGTACTAATTCATTCAATGATGTCATTCATATTTGGTATAATTTGTGTCACATTAATATCGTAACTTGACTTCTTTGTTGTTTTAAACACCTTGTAAATATGTACTTGCCTTTGTTAATAGTTATTACCTCTGTTTTCATTGAGAATTACTAGTATTGTACTTTTGTAGTGGTTACTAGTTAGGTTATCGTGCACTGAGCCGCCCTTTACAGTTCTTTTTTGTTAAATATTTCAACTTGGGGTTTAAAAAATTCCCATCAGTGCACGCCCTTTACAGTTCTTTTCTGCTAAATATTTCAACTTGGGTTTTAAAAAATTCCCATGACTGAATTTAGATAAGAATTTTAAAAGAGAAAGAAAAAAACGTATGTAAAATGTAATTTATATTTTATTCACATTTCACCTATTTTTTCTCTTTCGCTGTCCAAATCCCTCTCCATATCCAACTTTAAAATTCTAGTTAATTTTTTTTGTTTATCTGGGAAACTAGGCTTACTGTATTTTGGTTGCATAGCAAGAATTGCACTATCATGTTGTTTTGCTAAATCAAACAGGTGAAGAGCACTTCATTAGAGAACACAAACTCATTCACAACAAAACCTGCTATTTTATTTCAAAAGTGATCTTACACTAAACACAGGAACAGAACACACTAACAAGCACAAACACAAGTCACTAGTCACAAGCCACTCTCAAAATCCAGACAAGGTCACCACTTCTTGTTCCCGTCCCACCACAGATGCCAGGTATGAATTATCTGAATTCCTCACAGAACAATTCGCCCGAATCTCCCCTTCCGTCCCCGTCAACACTGTCAACTGGCCCATCTTTGTCATCGACAACACAAACTTCTAGATTTTCTAGATTTTACAGTGTTTCTAGATTTTCTTATGAAATGAGAAATAAAGCCTTACAGATTGTCACTGTCAAAGAGAAGTAGAGAAATAAAGCCTTACAGTGTTTCTAGATTTTCTTATGAAATGAGAAATAAAGCCTTACAGATTGTCACTGTCAAAGAGAAGTAGAGAAATAAAGCCTTACAGTGTTTCTAGATTTTCTTATGAAATGAGAAATAAAGCCTTACAGATTGTCACTGTCAAAGAGAAGTAGAGAAATAAAGCCTTACAGTGTTTCTAGATTTTCTTATGAAATGAGAAATAAAGCCTTACAGATTGTCACTGTCAAAGAGAAGTAGAGAAATAAAGCCTTACAGTGTTTCTAGATTTTCTTATGAAATGAGAAATAAAGCCTTACAGATTGTCACTGTCAAAGAGAAGTAGAGAAATAAAGCCTTACAGTGTTTCTAGATTTTCTTATGAAATGAGAAATAAAGCCTTACAGATTGTCACTGTCAAAGAGAAGTAGAGAAATAAAGCCTTACAGTGTTTCTAGATTTTCTTATGAAATGAGAAATAAAGCCTTACAGATTGTCACTGTCAAAGAGAAGTAGAGAAATAAAGCCTTACAGTGTTTCTAGATTTTCTTATGAAATGAGAAATAAAGCCTTACAGATTGTCACTGTCAAAGAGAAGTAGAGAAATAAAGCCTTACAGTGTTTCTAGATTTTCTTATGAAATGAGAAATAAAGCCTTACAGATTGTCACTGTCAAAGAGAAGTAGAGAAATAAAGCCTTACAGTGTTTCTAGATTTTCTTATGAAATGAGAAATAAAGCCTTACAGATTGTCACTGTCAAAGAGAAGTAGAGAAATAAAGCCTTACAGTGTTTCTAGATTTTCTTATGAAATGAGGCCAATTTTCCCAAACAGATTTGTTTGAGATTCTTTTTTAGTTTCCTGGAAAGAGCATTGATAAAGAAGTAGAGAAATAACGGTTCAAATCATCCATAGGCTAATGCAACTGTAGAACTTCATATCAGCATCGCTTGTTGCTTCCATTGGCTCTGTAACCATGCATATATCATTTCTTAACCACAACGATGTTCCCTGCTCTGCTTCATTACTTAGATTAGCAAGTATGTCATGAAATATTTGTGTTAAGGAATTTTTTGGAGCAGATTGTTGTTCGCTAAATGAATTACCTGCAGAACCTTCAGAAATCATGGGGAGTAGTGGCACACCAAACGAGCAACAACTGCCTGGAGCATGTAATGTTGCTTTTAATTCATTGCCGACAATACATATAAATGAACAAATAGCACCACAAGAGGTTAGAAGTATGCAAAATCAGCTACTGTTTTCATCTGATTCTGGTGGAAGAATGCTTTTAAAATCATATCCCAAGACAATTGCTTGTGAGGAGTCAATGGGGTTATATGCAAGTAAGGATTTTCTTATGTTGTAAAATCAGATTCCAGACTTGCAAATAATGATCTACCTGTTGATATCCAAAGGTTGAGATGTCGTGCTCTGTATTATGCTCTCCACTTCTCTCCTTTCTATTGACAATCTTGGGAAGGTTAGAACTTTTGTCTCTCCAGCATTCATCTGCCAAATAAATTTGGAATCTAGTTCCAGTTACAATTGAATTGATCTTACCAAAATTCTGAATGCTCCTTAGAATTTTATTACAAATTTTGGGACTTCCTGTGTTGAATTGATAATGATTATAATCAATGAAACATTTGCCACCATGCATGGTTTTGGATCTATTACTCCATTTGAAATGGAATCACAAAATTTTTGAAATCTCATTAGCATTTAAAACCTTACGAGGTTTGTACAGAATGTTGCTCCGAGTATGATGTAGGTGGTAATTTACTTTTGAGAGGTCTCCTATGGGGATATTCCTGTTAAATTAGGTTCTGAGAATACATGACAGTGAGACCGCAGAAGCTGGTGGAGCGGCTGAGATCCCGTGAGGGAAGATACATTGCTCTTCATCTGAGATATGAGAAAGACATGTTATCTTTCACTGGCTGTATTATAATGTACATTCTGGGTAAATGCAATTTAATTGTCTTGGCTATGTATCTTATTCTTATATTTAAGTTATCAACTTGGCTTTTTTCAGTGATGTTTTTTTTTTTTTTTTTGTGGTAAATTTGTGATGTCTTTGTACTCTTCAAGTTATGTAATTTTGTATTCTTTCCATATGACTTGAGTTGTACAATTTTGATGGTATAGAAGACAAAAAAGAAAGTATGGGCCTTGCTTAAATTTGATATTGTCTGATATAGGTCTCTCTTTGTATCTCCATAAAAGTAAAGAGTATACTCAGTAATTTTAGTCCTCACTGTCCTCATTGGATGCAGGTCTGGGAGAAGTAGCTCAGCTACGGACCGTGTGTGTGTGTGTGTGTGTGTGTACGTCTATGTAGGTTTTTTGTTCATAAATATATATACAACTCGGATAACAAGTTGAGTTGTGACTAGTTCTCATAATTTTCACATTCATTGTTATTGACCTCGCCAAGGGAATTTCTGATATCTATAAGTTTCCATTTGTCGCAGATTGTTACTTCACCTTGAAGGCATGGAATGCACAGAATGCTGGAGCAGCAGCTCTTCTAGTTGTGAACGACAGAGTTGAACCTTTGATCACCATGGACACCCCAGAAGAAGAGGACACAGCACCAGATTATCTGCAAAAAATAACTATCCCTGCAACACTAATTAGCAAATCTTTTGGTGAAAATATCAAGAAAGCTTTATCTAATGGTGAGATGGTTAACATAAATCTTGACTGGAGAGAGTCTCTTCCACATCCTGATGATCGGGTTGAGTATGAGTTCTGGACAAATAGCAACGACGAGTGTGGGCCCAAATGTGATAGTCAGATCGAGTTCGTCAAGAGTTTCAAAGGATTATAATGTTTGATCTTGTTTAATTGGATTATAATGTACTGTATGGTTCCAAATGTATCATCTGTTGCATATAGTTTAGGCTCATCTTTGGATATAGTTGGAAGACAAGTGGTATTTTTAATATTATAAGCCATATTAGTGTGCTTTCTATTCCTTTTTAATTTTTTTGGGCAAATTACACTTCTTGACCATTTTGATTTTAATTGATGTATTTAAAGTCTGAACACAAATTGTTTCTATTTTTAGGTGTGCAATGCATTGTTTCTTATTTTTAATTTTGTTTTCAAGCTTAGTTTATTTATTATTTTAATAAACATCAATTATTAGTTCTTAATAATTGTTTGATAGGTATTTTTTTTGGTCAACCGTATACAATTAGCACAATTTAAAAATAAAAAAAAGGTTATGGTGGCGTTTAAAAAACGTCACTATATCCCACCCCAACGGTTAGATTTTTAAAAGTTATAAATGTCTATGACGGCGTTTTCAAAAACGTCGCTAAATGTTGCTGTGACGTCATGGTACAGTTAGGTAGGACATTTGGCGGCGTTTTAATATAACGACGTTTTTCAAACGCCATAAAGCTATAGCGACGGCTGCGTCATCGGCGTTTGGTACTAAACGTCACAAAAAGAATTAGTGACGTTTCTAATACTTTTAGCGGCGTTTTTTAAACGCCGCTAAAAATGAATTTTCCAGCAGTGATAATTGTTGTCAATTTTTTTAGTAAAAAATTAAATAAGTTACGATTATCGAATCGACCTAATTTTTTTTAGATGAAATACGAGTGTCCAACAAAATGAACGGTTCAAATTTTTGAAACGGGAAGATCCCACGGGTCCAAACTGTTGGAAAAATGGTTTAATATAGGCATATTTTTTAGTCCAAATTTGAGTGGGCCCCAAACGTCTTTTGGGGTGGGTCTGAAGAAGTGAAGTGTTCCTTGTTGTGTGGCAAGTCACACGGTGAAGACGGAACGTCAAAACCATTTTTGAGTGAATGGGAAGTTGACATCGTTTTCGGGTTTAATACTAATTTTTAGATAAAATTCTTTTGAATTTTTTCAATAAGAAATTATTGTGGGAATTTAATTTAAATCTAAATTCAAATTTTTGAGTTCCTAAAGTGGTTTCTTAAAGTTTGTCAAATAGATTAATATTTATATTTCTAACAGGTTTTATTAAATCTATTATATTATTGGCTTTATTTGATTAAACTAGTCTAATAATTTAATAATATTTATATTCCAACAGTTTAGATTTAAGTACACCTACGGCTACTTCTTCCAATTTGTTTGAATTATAACCATTCCTGTACAACGGCAAAATCTGTTACAGATCTGTTTAATTTTTGAATCAAACCTGTTCACTTCTGATTGCACCTGTTCGGGGCTAAGGATTTTTGCCTATATATACTACCATGATTCTAGTAGTCTTGGGTCGGAAAAAAAAAAAATCAGTCGAAATAATCAGAAAAATTTAGTCTGAAATTTTTGTCTCTTTGTTGTTCATTTTGTTCTAGTACATTTATTCTTCATATATTAGTTTTAGAATAAATATTCAGAGAGTTAGATCACAGGTTTGGTTCGCCGAACAATTTGTTTTGGAATGCTACTACAAATTGGTTAAGATCATTGTATCCTGGGAGATAGACGCCACTCAACCGTAAGCACCATAGCGGGGTGAATATGTCTTAAGGACAGAGTGTCACACACTCGACTTGGTCTTTATTTATTTATTCGGTTCAACAAAATAAATTCTATAAGTTTTATTTTGTTTTGTTTGAATTTGTATCCATTTATTTTATTTACACAGAAGATTGTTCTAACAATCTTAAGACAGATTCGAATTATTCTATTTACAGAATTTTTCGTTTGTTTCCTTTTCTCTTTCTTCTTTTAAGAAAATTATTTTCTGTGGATTTACAAAATAATATTCTGGTTGGAAAAACAAATAGTGATTATATGCTATTTGACAGATAGTAGTAATATACTATCTCTTTTATTTGACAACAACTAGTAGTACGATACTGGTGTCATTAATAATTCAGAATATATTTTTGTAGAATTTTTTCAGAAATTAATTTTGGGTTTTAGAAATTTTTTCTGAGTTTTCATTATTTAAAATTCTGTTTTAGTATTTTAATTTGAAGTGCTACAGAAATTAATTTTCTGTGTGGAATTAATTTGGTTGAATAAAATTTTATTTTATTTCCAAATTAATTGAAAAAATAAAAGTTATATTCTTATTTCTTTTATTTTACAGAATTTAATTTCCTGTGTGGAATTAATTTGTTTAAATAAAATTTTATTTTATTTTCAAATTAATTGGAAAATAAAAGTTACATTCTTGTTTCTTTTATTTTTACAGAATTTAATTCTGTGAATTTGGTTTAATTTTCTGTGTAGTGTAAATTCTAATTATAATTTTGTTTTATATATTAGAATTGATGGCTACTGAAACAAATGCCCAAACAAGTACTACTGTGGTGGCTGCGTTTGCACCAACCCCCTCTCCTGTGGTGACAGTACCAATAAATCATGAAGAAAAGCCAGAGAAGTTCTCAAGAACTGACTTTAAAAGATGGCAACAGAAAATATTGTTCTATCTTACAACTCTGAACCTAGCTCGTTTCCTCCGTGAAGATGCTCTTATCCTGAAAGAGGATGAAACCGACCGGTAAGTGGTTGCTGCGGTTGATGCTTAGAAACATGCCGATTTCCTTTGCCGGAATTACATCTTGAACGGACTTGACAACACATTATACAACGTCTACAGTCCAATCAAGACAGCAAAGGAACTTTGGGAATCGTTGGAGAAAAAGTACAAAACGGAAGATGCCGGCTCAAAGAAATTTGTGGTTGGCAGATTCTTAGATTTTGTAATGGTTGATTCAAAAACTGTGATCAGCCAAGTTCAAGATTTCCAACTCATTCTGCATGACATTCACGCAGAAGGTATGTCTCTTAGTGAATCCTTTCAAGTTGCAGCCTTAATTGAAAAATTACCAAAAGGCTGGAAGGAATTCAAGAACTACCTCAAACACAAGCGCAAAGAAATTTCTATGGACGAATTAATTGTGCATTTAAGAATTGAGGAGGACAACTGCAATTCTAAAAAGCAGGCTGGTAAGCATCCTATGGAGTCTAAGGAAAATGTGGTGGAACATGCTTCAAAACCAAGAAACGAAAGTCTTCTGGAGAAAGTATATCACAAGGCTCTAAAGGGGGGGATAATAAAAGTACAAGTTTAATGGCAAATGTTACATCTGTGACAAAGATGGACATCAGGCCAAAGATTGCCGTAGCAAAGGCAAAAGTAAAAGAAGAACAAGCAAAAAGCCTGCTCAAGCCCATATGACTGAAGTGGACAAGATTTCCAATGGTGTAGATGACATCAATCTTTCTGCAGTTGTTTCCGAGGCAAATCTTGTCGGAAATCCTAAAGAATGGTGGGTGGACACTGGTGCTATTTGCCATATTTGTGCCGATAAAAAGATATTCACATCTTATTCTACAGTGGACAATGGTGAACAACTTTTTATGGGCAACTCCTCAACTTCCAAAGTTGAAGGACAAGGAAAGATTGTACTTAAGATGACATCTGGAAAGGAACTCACTCTCAACAATGTGCTGCATGTACTGGACATTCGCAAGAATCTTGTTTCCGGATTTTTGTTGAGTAAGAATGGGTTTTGGCTAGTATTTGAGAGTGATAAATTTGTACTTACTAAAAATGGGATGTATGTAGGAAAATGTTATATGTCTGATGGCCTTTTCAAGTTAATTGTAATGACCGTTGTACCCTCAGTTATTAATAATACTACATCTTCTTCTTACTTGCTTGAGTCTTCAAATTTATGGCATGGTAGACTAGGACATGCTAATTATGAAT